GTCATGATCTCAGGAGTCCTGCATCGGGCTCCCTGCTCAGCAGCAAGTCTGCTTCTCCCTCTCCTTCTGTGATCTCTCTCCCTCTCTCAAATAAATAAATAAAATCTCTTAAAAAAAAAAGCTATTTCTGTAATAGCATCAAACTCATAAGGTACCTATAAACTCATACATTCTCAACAACAGCAACACTGCTCCCAAGGAGGCAAAGGTTGTTTGTTAGGGGACAAAAAACCTTTTTGTATGCATTGTGAAAATTAATAAAGGGAAACCTCACTACAGTGGAGGTGGGAGGCTAGATGGGGAGCCCAGCACTCAGTGCCCGTCACTTAGAAACCCCAACATCAGAACCCTCCACAGGACAGAATCACCAGGGAAAGATGTTCACTGCGTCCCCAGCAGCTCAGCCAATGAGAAACCTCATCACCCGGAACCCGTGCTTTTTTCCAGTGGACCTTTCTTCGAAACAACCCTCCCAACTTCCTCCTTCTCCAAGAAGTAACGTCCCTGTCCTGTGTTTCTTGCACTTGCCTAGATCTGCCATAGCCTGCTTATGTGGATTGCAACCCTCCGCCATACCCAAATAAATCCATCTTCTGCTGGTAAAATAACTGGGAGTTTTAAGGCTAACAGTATAAAACACAGTTACACATATAGTACATACACAGATATGCAACGTATGTGTGATATCAAACTCTCATGGAGGAAGACTAGAAACAGAAAGTTCAAAACCCCACTTGGTTAAGAAATGAGAAGATAAGCCACAACCTGGGAAAAAATACTGGCAAAACACACATCTGATAAAAGACTGTTATCCAAAATATAAAAAAAAAAAAAAAACCCTCTTATAACTCAACAAGGCAATAAATCACTTGTAGAAATGTGCAAAAGACCTGAACAGACACCTCCCCGAAGAAGACACACAGTGGCAAAAAAAAAAAAAGGCCCATGGGAGCACGCAGGTGGTATAGTCCGTTGAGCGTCCGACTCTTGATTTGGGCTCAGGTCATGATCCCGGGCCGTAGGGTCCAGCCCTGCATCGGGCTCCGTGCTCACCAGAGTCTACCTGAGATTCTCTCTCCCTCTCCCCGTGCCCCTCTCCCCGCACCTCACGCACGCTCTCTCTCTCAAATAATCTTTTTCTAAAAAGCCTCTGAAGAGATTCTGCACGTCGTATGTCATCAGGAAATGCACATTAAAACCATAATGAGACACCACTACACACGTATCAGGATGGCTAAAAAGCTGGCGGTACCACGTGCTGGTGAGATACAGAGCACCAGGAGCTCATACTTTGCTGGGACTGCAAAATGGTCCAAGTGCTGATACAGGCCCTTTGATGCGGCTCTACTCACAGTCGCCAACAACTGGAATTAACCCCACGCTCACCACCTGGTGGACGGGTAAACAACATGGTGCACACATTCGAGGGACGAGCTGCTGGTGCACGCAGCAGCACAGGGAGCTGTAAATGCAAAACGCTAAGTGAAAGAAGCCAGGCTCGACGGTCTACATTCTGTAGGATTCCGTTCATTTGACATCGGGAAAAAGTAAAACTGTGGAGACAGAAAACCGATTAGTGGCCGATGGCAAAGGAGAGACAGGAAACCAAGTGCGTGTGGGGCACAGGGGCTCCTGGGCAAGAACGGAGAGAAAGACAGAGCGAAGACAATGGGGTCTGAAGGCAGGCCTGCCACAAAGTCAGTGTGACCAGGGACAAGCTTCCCTCTCCCTGAGCAGCAGGGAAGTAGGCCAAGATAGGCATTAGACAACCAATGTCTACAAAGCACTGAGGAAGCCCCAGAACAAGTACCCACCAAGGGGTGGGGGTTGTGGCTGCTGTGATTGTCGGGGGTGGTTGTGGTGGTTGTTGTGGTTGTGGTTACAGCTGCTGTGGTTGTGGTGGTGGTTGTGGTTGTGGCTGCTGTGATTGTGGGGGGTGGTTGTGGTTGTGGTTACAGCTGCTGTGGTTGTGGTGGTTGTGGCTACTGTGGTTGTGGTTGTTGTGGTTGTGGCTGCTGTGGTTGTGGTTGTGGTGGTTGTGGCTGCTGTGGTTGTGGTTTGGTGGTGGTTGTGGCTACTGTGGCTGTGGTGGTGATTGTGGCTGCTGTGGTTGTGGCTGTGGTGGGTGGTTGTGGCTACTGTGGCTGTGGTGGTGGTTGTGGTTGTGGCTGCTGTGATTGTGGGGGGTGGTTGTGGTTGTGGTTACAGCTGCTGTGGTTGTGGTGGTGGTGGGCGGTTGTGGCTGCTGTGGTTGTGGTTGTGG